GTTATGTTTTCATACTTGTTTGGTTTAGCTTAGAGATGAATGATTCCATAATTTTAAGCCCTTAATTTAAAATACTAATCGATCCTTATCTGTTGACAGTTTCTACCAGAAAACACTGGTAGAGATGCATGCTGAATCTCTAAATGGCTGCAATTGAGGAAACACAAAGGCCACCCTTCCCTTTTTGACTGGTAGAAGTGTCAGAGGGCACCAGCTAGCTCCACACTGGGGCCACAAGACACATTGAGTGAGGGTGAGATCAGCCTCACCCCAAGACCAGGACCAGCCCCTCCCTGTGTGTGAGGTGCTCTCTGGAGGTTCTTCCTCAACTCAGTGGATGCAGGGGTGATGGGATGCCAAGCCCACATAGCTAGCAGCTTGGTATTCAGCAGAGAGGGAGGGAGGAAGGGAGGGAGGGAAGGCCTGGAAGGGCCAGGAGTGGTCTCCAGTGGCTTACCAGTTGGGGAGGGGATGGAAGGAGGAGCTAGAACAAGGCAAGGCCCAGAGCTGCCCTCCAGGCTGGCCATGCATCCTCCCACCTCCGCCTGTTGTCTGAAGTGTCCTAAATTCTCAGCAGGTCTTTCCGACATGTATCAGGCCCCAACTTGTCCTTGTTGATCCTCCCACATGTCCTTGGGGATGGGAATGGTGTGCCAGCTGCCTGGCTAGGAGGATAGGCCTGCTAGGAGGACAGGTCTGCTGATCTGTCATCAGCTCACTCCCACAAGCCATGCAGGCTTCCCTATGCACAGGTTCCTGGGGCTAACCCATCTGTCACCAGGTAGTGACACAGAGACCCAGTCCTTTCCACTGAACTCAGGAAAGATGTCCCTTGTCCCCTATAAGGCATTGCTTGTCCTCCTCTTTGTCTCTTATGCATCCTGTCTGTGCTGGACACAGAAGTGCAGGTTTCCAAAGACAGATACCATCATGGCCTTGACCTCGGCCTTCATGATTCAGGTGGGGCCAGAGAGCAGGCCACAGAGGCAGACCAAAACCAAGCATGACTGGGGACCCGTGCGAGGAGGGCCACCAAGTGGCCTGGTCTAGAAGAGGCCAGCAGGGGCTGTGCTCTCACTAGGGGTCAGGAGAGTGAGGGGATGGGACTGGGATGAGAGGTGGGCTTTCTTCCTTCCAGGTGGGCCAGGACCTGAGGCACTGTAGCTTCTAGGACTAAGCTGACAACAAACAGCACCCTGGGTCCCATGGAAGCCACATGGGGACTGGATGCCTCATGAGAAGTGTAGTGTTTGCCATAATACACTGGGAAACTGTACAGTGTCTGAAATAGGGCACTTCACGTTCTTACTACCCCAAAAACCTACAGCTCCTTAGTGGGGTTGGCAACCGTTCATAGGTCGCCCTTTAATGACCATCTCAGATGGCCCTCTCAGGAGCCTCCCAATATTGCTTTCCCCAAGGTCTGGATTTGGGGCTCCTCTTGTGGGCACAGACCTCAAGAGTCCTCATTTGTGGCTCTTGCTTGTGACCCAGCTACTCAGGAGGTGGCGAGTGGGAGGATTGAAGTTTAAGGTCACTCTGGGCAAAAAGGTCCCAAGACCTCATTTCAACCAATGTCTGGGTACAGTGGTGTGCATTTCTGTCATCCTGAGCTTTGCAGAGGAACACAAATAAAAGGATCATGGTCCAGGCATAAAGTGAGACCCTATCTCAAAAATAACCAATGTAGACTTGTGGATGATACCTGTAATCCTAGCTACTGGTGAGGCAGAAATCAGGAGGATCGAGATTCGAGGTCAGCTTGCCCCCACCAAAGCAAGACCCTATCTTAAAAATACCCAACACAAAAAGTGACTAGCAGAGTGACTCAAGTGGTAGAGTACCTGCCCGATGAGCATGAAGCCCTGAGTTTAAACCCCAGGATTGCCAAAAACAATCCTCATTTGTGCTGCTCCCCTGTTACACAGTCCACTCCTGGGGAGAGAGGATGTCAGTGCTGCTTGTTTCTTTTTCCAGGATCAGTACAACACTCAGATGTCCTTGGAACAGTGGACTCTCTGTGTCCTGTTGCACCATTTTTCTGAATGGAGCCTCTGCCTTACAGCCTCAAGAGGGAGGGGCTCCATGTGGGGGAGGAAGGGAACCCTGGTGGAAACCATGTGTTAGGAAGCACAGTGAGGGAGTGGGGTCCCAGAGTCAGAACCAGGTGGTGGAGACACGGTCTTGATGTGGTGACCTGAGGTCTGCGGTTCTGCCTGGTGCACAGACTCCCAACCCCCTAGACAGACAATGGCACCAGGGGACCTCTTCATCCACCTCCGTGCTCTGTGCCACCCTGCTGTTTTGACACAGAGGCTCCTCTCCTTTCCTTTCGGTTTCCTTCTGCATGTTTTCCGTGACACATGGCAACATGGTAGGTTGTGCTGGAGGAGGGGAGACAGCAGGTGCTCTGGTTGCATGTCCACCCAAGAGTAGGACAGCAATCATTGCTGCTCCAACAGGGCCAGAAGGGCACCCAGTAACCTCAGCAGGCAGCAGACACACTCATACACCTGCTTGGGATGAGGCCCCACCACCTATGCTCCTCTGTTGCAGATGGCCTTGGGCTGTGTCCTGCCTCTGAGCTGTGTCCTTTCCTGCCAGCAGGTGGCACCCCTCAGGCATGTTGTGAAGTTCTTGGCGATGCCTCCATGGGTGGATGTGGCTGCAGACATCACCCCACCCCAGGACTGGGTGATGAACACACAGTATAATGAGGCTGAGGCAGGAGCTGAGCCTCCTCCATCCTTCATAGTATCTATCCTGAGCCAGTGTTCCAAATGAACGCTTTTGTGACAATGAAAGAGGCCTGGAGGGTCCCAGTGAATCAAACCAGACAATGGGGTACCAGCTGCTTCCCACTTTCTTTTTTTAAGGAAGACTGGGGTTTGAGCTCAGGGCTTTGCACTTGCAAAACAGGTGCTCTACTGCTTGAGCCGCACCTCCAGTCCTGGTTCTTTTAGAGATGGGGTTCTTGCAGGCTTTTTGCCGACTGGCCTTGAACCTCCATCCTTCTGGTCTCAGCCTCCCAGGTAGATGGGATTATAGGTGTGAGCCACCAGTGCCCGATGCATACCAGTTTCTTCATGAAGCCATTGTCAGGCCAGTGTTGGCCGCACGGATTTGTTCAGAAATGTCCTGGGAGGTGAAATTACTTTAAATATAACTTTAGGAAGAGGAAATTCCATTCTGTTTAGTCAGTATGATACAGCCATTAAAACCTTACTGTTCTTCCTAGTTGAGCGAGCTGCTGTGTGATTTATGGCTCCTCCCACAGGAGGCTGCGGGCTTTGGGGAAGTTCGGTGGTTTTCATTGGGGTGGTGCTCCAGTGGCTTCTACAGACACAGGACCTCGTCCAGGGTCAGGTGCGTGCCTTGCATTTAGGTCTGCTGGCTGTCTTTCCAAAACATGGTCGGTGAGGCAGGACATGATGACGCCTCACTCTCTTGCCATCTTCCTCTGTAAAATGAGCAGAGTTAGACTTTGCCTTGGAGAGCCCTCAGCCTGGCGTCAGTGAATGTCTGTGGATGACATCTGAGGAAAGCCACCAAGTCTTTGGTGCCTGCACTTCTGGGCACTGGTGCTGCACAGCAACCTTCCCAAGTTGGTATCCCATGTCATCCTGCAGAAAGAAAGCCAAGCTAGGCGAGATGGGGGAATGTAACTTACAGTAAGCCGGAATAAATTTGGGGTGTTACCTTCCTGAATTGATCCTCCTGCCTCTTAGGACCTGGGCTGTCCTGTCTGCGTTCTCCCTGTTTGTTTTGCTACAGAAGACTTGGCTTTCAGAGACAGTCTAAATTCCTGGTGAAAGAAGGCTCGAGTAAGCCATGACTAAAATTTGAAAGAGCACACACAGCTTTACTGAAAACTGCTGTGCAGACACAAAAGAAGCAAAATTTGTTTCCTACAGATCTCTGCACACTGCTAACCTACCGTAAGGAGAGTTGCAAACTGTGTTTCTTAAAATATGTACATGCACACAGGTGTGCACAGATACGTGCACATGTGCACAAAAACGCACGCACGTGCACAAAAATGCACACACACATACAAATAAGGTCTTCAACTTAAGATTGTTTGGCTTTATGGTGTTGTAAAAGCAGTATTGTATTCAGTAGAACATCCTTTAAATTTTTAATTTGGGTTTTGTTCCTGGCTAGGATGTGTGGTGGGATGTTCTCCGAGGTTCTGGACAGTGTAGCTTCTGGTGTCCCTGTGATCTCAGGGATGCTGTGTGGCGTTGCTGGATGTTAAGAACATTGTCAGCCTACAACAGTTTCCATTTGTGGAGGGTTTGTTGGGTGGTAACCCCATGGGATATCGACCTTCCGTGCATGCCTGTGTATGTATGTGCCACCTTAGTCAAAATCGGCAGGTGAACAGTCTAAACCCCATCAGACTGATTTGCTGATAAATTTAAAGTTATGTGTATGAATGCTTAAAAATCCCTCTTTCCTGGGTGGAGTTTTTCAGACCCCACACATTGAAAGCATTTTATTTAGATTCAGTCACCTTAACTTACAACAAAACGAAAGCCAGGAAAACCACAGCTGGGTCATGGGTTTTTGTGCCCCCTTCCTTCCATGCCCCTCTCCCTCTGGATCAGTACTTCCTGGGTGGACTGGGTTTTGGCAGAACTCAGGTCTGCACAGGTCCCAAGAAGGGCAGGGTCCCCTCCTGTGCTGTGAGGGAGGAGCCCAGGCAGGAAGGGGACGGGAGGGCTGGCTGTGGGAGGACCGTGGGACAGGAGAGTGTGGTGATAGGGTGGCCATATGGACCAGGGCATGACCAGGGGATGGAAGGGTGGGTGGACGGGAGTGGCAGGGGAGGGAAGGGCAGGAGGGTGGAGCATGGGGGGCCTTCTTCTGGAAATAGGAGAGGAGGGGTGGCCAGGCACAGCTGCTGGGCCAAGGCCCTGGTCTGGGTACACACAGCTTCTGCATGGAGGTGTGGTGACTGCAGGAGTGAGCATTCGGCCTGTGTGGGTTTCAGGTCCAACCCGAAAAATGCCGCCCAGCGCCAGCGCCGTGGACTTCTTCCAGCTCTTTGTCCCAGACAACGCCCTCAAGAACATGGTGGTGCAGACCAACATGTACGCCAGGAAGTTCCAGGAGCGCTTTGGCAGCGATAGCTCATGGGCGGAGGTCACGCTGGCCGAGATGAAGGCCTTCCTGGGCTACGTCATCTCCACCAGCGTCTCGCACTGCGAGTCCGTCCTCAGCATCTGGAGTGGTGGCTTCTACAGCAACCGCAGCCTGGCGCTCGCCATGAGCCAGGCCCGCTTCGAGAAGATTCTGAAGTACTTCCACATCGTGGCCTTCCGCTCCAGCCAGACCACGCACGGGCTCTACAAGGTCCAGCCCTTCCTCGACTCCCTGCAGAGTGGCTTTGATGCTGCCTTCAGGCCATCCCAAACCCAGGTGAGGCCAGCAGCCCCCGAGGAACCCGTGGCCTTGCCCTGGCTGTCCTTCCTGCCTGTTCTCCGAGGTCACTTCAAGGTCGCCCCTGGTAATCCTCCATCCTGGTGCGGCCTTGTGCCTCTTCCCACCCTCCTTCACTTGCCTTTTACTTTCCAGGTGAGGTTTTGCACAGGCTGGTGTAGTTTTCTTATCCTCTTGTCGGCCTGCAGCATCTGGTGGTGGGTGAGAAGTACTGGATGCCTTTGGGTGGCAACAGGAATGCATTAGATGCCCCATTTCTTGAGGTCACTGAGGGTGCTCACGGCAGAGCCCAGAGTCCATAGTCCAGGATCTGTAGAGTCCCTCCTTCCCGTGCAGCTCCCTGACACCTTCCTGATGTCGTCAGCCAGTTCCAGGAGCAGCAGCTCTTGACCTCTCCCTGCCCTCTGATGTCCACTTGTGCCCATGGCTGTGGCACCTGACTGGCGAAACAGAATCTCAGCATATTCCTCAGACTGGCTCCGCTGGGGGCCAGGCATGGAGGTGTACAACTGTAATCCCAGCTACATGGCAGGCATAGATGGAAAGACTATGGTTCGAGGCCAGCCCAAGGCAAAATAGTTAGACGCCCATCTCAATAAACAAGTTGGGTGTGGTGGTGGGTGCCTCCTGGCTATGTGGGAGCCGTAGGTAGGAGGAACTCAGTCCGAGGCTGGTTCTGGGCAAAAAGTGTGTGACCCTACCTAAAAACAAACTGAAAGCAAAAATGACTGGGGGCTTTGTGCTTGGCTCCCTCATTTATGGTCTCAGACACATCTGAGAAGCATCTCCCAAAGGAGGAAGAGGGTTCTCGTTCCAATCCTTGATGGGAAGCCAGAGCTCGAAGGTTCCTAGTTTCCCCACTTTTCCCTTCTGAAAACTCAGGGCTCCGGAAGGTTTGAGGGGGAGCTGTGATTTGGATTTCGTGGAGAGCCCCTTTGAGACCAGCTGGGACAGTCCTTTTCCTCTGGTGCTCATCAGACGTGGGGACCGGTTTTCTCAGGTTCCTATGTGAGGCTCCGTGCCCGGACTCCACCCTGCCCACCTGCGTGCACACCTCACAGGCGCACAGACCCCCCCCACCCTACACCCTGTGTTCTGGCAAGTGTGACCTTTAGAGAAGGTTTGCAAAGTCCTCAGAGGACCCCAGAATCTACGAGCAATCAAAGCAGCTGTGTGTGCACGCATGTGCACGGCGTGACATTTACACACGTCTGAAATGGGAGACACTACATTTCCTCAAACCTGGAGTCCAATGAATCAGAGACGTATCCCCGGGGAGGGGTTATATCTTGTCCTTCTGTTCATGCCACCTGCGCGCCACAGTGAGGGAACTGGGGATCTCCCTTTGAGGATGGCTGCTGCCTGGCTCCCTCTAAAGGACGAGGAGGGTTTGCCCAGTGTGCATGCTGCTTTTGCAGTAGCGTTTGTAATCACTTAGTGACCACAGGAACTGGAAGGGTGGAGGGGTCAGAGATTCTTGCTTGCCCTGCCATTAGAAGTTTGTAGTTGATGGTGTATTTGCCGAGAGTGGAGTAGAGCCAGGCTTGTTCTCTTGCTGGCCCTGGAGGAAGGCAGCTGTGTTTCCTGGGCGGCCAAGAAGCAAGAGCAGGTGACCAGCCTGGGCAGGGGGAGAGCAAGCAGCGAAATGCCCCTCTGTGCTGTCCTTGTCTCTCTGTCCACACCGTGTACAGCTTGTACACTTGCCTAGAGTTGTTTCAAACAGGCTTTGAATGTTTCATGAGCCAGTGAGTATGTAGGGGCTGGAGGCCCCAGTACAGTACTCTCTGGAACAGAGATGGGCCAGGCCTGACCTCCCCATGAGCCTGACAGTGAAAATCTGAGGGACGCGGCAAGTGTGCACAGCCCAAACTGAGTGGCGCAAGGCTGTCGTGTCTTAAATGTGGAACTGAAGGTGCTGTAGCTGGAAGAGTGGGGAGACGCTGTCCAACCACAGTGATGAGGTCACTCTCCTGTGTCCTTGCCAGGCCACACTCTGACCTCACCCAGAAGCCGCGTGCAAATGCCCCATGTTGGATGCTCCCCTAGCCCTGCTGAGTCAGGGCCCACATTTTATTTACCATGGTCCCCAGATGGCTGGTCTGTTGAAACTTTTCTGTAGGGGGTCAGATGGTATTTTAGACTTTATGTGCTCTCTGTTTGATCCGAGTTCTTCTGTAGACCCAAGGCAGCCATAGGCAGCAATGTTCCAGGAAAACTGTATTTACAGAAATAGGTAGTGGTCCAGGCCAGGCTGCAGTCTGCTGATCCCCAGTTTAGAACACGTGTAGAGTTCTAGGAATCATACAGGAATCATATTATTGCTGTGCTGACATCATAATTAATCCTGAAGTAGGACGTTCCTAAAATGTACCTGAACACCTGCCCAAATGAACATGAACAAACAGTGTTCACTACCCCTTGGAGCTCATTTCACTGTTTCTTTTTACTTTATCATCTTGTCATTGCAAAAGTCATAGGGCCATATCATCAAGAAGTTGACAGAAGGATGGGCATGGTGGCTCATGCCTGTAATCCTAGCTACTCAAGAGGTAGAAGATCAGAATTCCAGGCCAGCCCCAGCAAAAAGTTCTCAAGACCCCATCTCAACAAATAGCTGGTATGGTGGTGTGTACCTCTCATTCCAGCTATTTACATAGGAAGCTTAAATAGGAGGATTGTCAGGCTAGCCCTGGGCTTAAAGAGAGAACCTACCCCCAAAAATGACCAAAGCAAAAATGGGTGGGGCACGGCTCAAGTGATAGAGTGTCTGCTTGGCAAGTGCTAGGCTCTGATCTGAGTTCAAACTTTAGCATTGCTTAAAAAAAAATAACTGATAGAGGCAAAATAAGTTTTAAAGCTGCCTTGGGGACCCTGGCTGGGTTGCAACCTGGCCGTCGGGGTGATGGTAGAAGTGGGTGTCCCACAGGGGAAGAGGAGGTTGTGGTCACAGGGCAGCCATCTTGACCACCAGCGAGGCATAAGGGCCAGGGGTAGATCAGGTGCTCGGCAGGTGTGGATCCCCAGCCCCAGAGAAAGGAAGGAACCCTAAAGAAAGTGGTTGGTTTTCCTCTGTTTCTCATAGGGCTGTTGAAGCCATGGGTTTGAGTTAAATATGGGTAAATTTTGACTCAGTGAAAGAACCATGGTGAGGAGGAGCTCCTTGAAGGGCAGTGGGCGCCCTCTACTGGACATGTCTGGGACTCTACAGGAGAGCTGTGTGGCTAGTGGTAATGTCAGTAATGGTAACTTCCAGGTGGGCCAAGAGCACTGCCCACGCTTTCCTGCTGGCTCCCCCAGGGACTCTAGCACAGTCCCTGACACTGCCCGTGTGGACAAGGAGACTTAGATCAGAGAAGTAAAGAAACTTGGCCAAGGTGCACACACAGCTGGCCGGAGGCAGAGACGGGAGCCAAGCACCCTCTGTGAGACCCTCTGCCTTTCCCTCCCCGGCAGGTGCTACATGAACCCCTGATCGACGAGGACCCCGTGTTCATCGCCACGTGCACCGAACGTGAGCTACGAAAGAGGAAAAAGCGGAAATTCAGCCTGTGGGTCCGGCAGTGCTCTGCCACAGGCTTCATCATCCAGGTGAGCTGTGGGCACTGATGGAGAACTGGCTTGGTCACCTTCCTCTGCATGGTGGACTCCACCCAAATGCTCTGGCTGAGGCTGGGCTACCTCTTCCTCCACGGGGCTGTGGGGCAGCGGCCCTGGAGAGGCCCTAGTCACCGCCATGCCTGTCCCTATCCCTCTGTGCTGTCCCTGCCCATTGCTGCCCCTGAGCAGGCAGGTGAATTGTGCAGACCCAGGACAGCAGTGTTGGTCAGAGGGGTCACCAGATGCTGGGTGTGAGAGGTGCCTGCCACCCATGAGCCCGTGCCTCAGGACCTGTGGACCTGGGGCTGACCCAGAAGGCCCCACTGACCCTCCAGCCCTCTGGTCACTGTCTAGTTTGTAGCCACTGGCAGCCAGCTGGTGACATCAGCCTTGCTCAGGGCCACAGGCAAGTCACTGGTCCTTTAAGCCCATGGCAGAGTCGTGTGTTTCAGAGGAGGTGGCTGTGCCCTACTGCAAGTTAGGTGGCAGCTGAGCTGACCAGGAGCAGGGCACACACCAGGTGGACTGGTGTCAGGCAGAGTGTGGCTCCAAGGTGTTGTCCTCTGGTGGTTGGGGTGTGTGCTCCTCAATACCTCCTCCCATCAGACTGGTCACTGGCCCTGTGGTGACAGCTGACCCCATACTCGTTGTCCCTGCTTGACTGTAGCCCCAGGACACCAGGCGTGGGTGTGTTAGCACATCCTCTGTCCCTCAGCCAGAGAAGGGTCTGTGGGAAGATTCAGCTGGACTTCTCTTTGCCACTTCCACTCTAGAGCACAGCACGTGCTTCCAGGAACCAGCTCCCCACTATGGGCGAGTGCCATCCACCTCCTGTAGGCCTGCGGGACTCTCAGGTTGGGCTGAGCCAGAGCTCCAGCAGTGGCCAGAGTCACCTCCCAGGGTGGATTCACTCGCTCCTAGACATACAGCCTGGGTACTGGTCCTGTGCACCCCTGTGGCTCTGCAGTGACACTCCAGTTGGACACAGCTGTCCCAGGTGCGTTTCACATGGTTCCTCCCAGCGGACATGTATTAATCTTTCAATAAGTCTTTACCTGTAAGCTTTGTGTGGAGGGCTGGAGTGGGAACACAGGATTCTGCTGACCTCTATGGAATGGAATTAGAATCGAGCTTGGCTCTGAAGTCCCAGTGATGGAGGAGTCCTTGCTACCTCTAGTAGGAAAAGCTTATTAAAACATCCATGAACACAGTGACACGTGTGGTGCTGGCGTGTGTGTGACATCACGGGGCCGTGGGGGGCAGCTGGGTGCACAGAGCAGGCGTGTAGTGCAGGCCACATGAGGCGAAGTCGTGTGTCTGCAGGCAGTGTGAACAGTGTCGTTGTGGTGTCTGTTGTGCGGTACCACGTCTCCCCCGGCCCCCTTAGTTTCTTTCCCGGGTTTCAGTTGCCTGCAATTGACTGCTGTCTAAATATTACGTGAAAATTTCCAGAAAATAACCAACTCTGAAGTTTTACATTGCACCGTATCTGCTGCCTCAGTTACCACATGGACTGTTGCAGGGCCCAGGGTTCAGGTGACCCTCTTTTTGCTTATCAGCGACCCCAGAGCAACTCAGACAAGCCAAAGAGAAGGTGAACACCGCTTCCCTGCAGTGAAAAGGTGGAAGTTCTCGACGTAATAAGAAAAGTATTGTGTGCAGAGCTTGCTGACCCTACAGCAAGACAGTCGTCTGTCCATGAAGTGAAGAAGGAAAGAAGTTTGTGCTGGTTTTGCTGTCACATCTCAGACTGAAAGTTACGGCCACAGCACGTGACACGATACAGAGCCGTACCACCTACGGTTTTGGGCGTCCACAGTAGGTCTGGGACATCCCCCCAAGGACGGGGGACAGCTGTATAAGAAGTCACTTTTGTGTGCCTGAGTTGTATGGAGGGACTGTGGCCTTGCGAGGTGACACAGCGTATTCCCTTCATGGGCGAGGACAGCATGCCTGTGAGTAGTTAACTAGTACGTGATCACGAGCTGGCAGGTGACAGCCAAACGTCCGAGTCCAGCATGTGCGCACACCCTTGTGGTCTCCAGCTTCTCTCGTGAGGTGACGTGAAAACTTCACGGACCTGAGGAGTGGGCAACCTGGGAGCCAGGACCCTGGAAGCCCTCTCACTTGTGTCCTTCCAATGAGTGCCACCCACACACCCTTGTGATGTCTGCCCACAAGTGAGATGCCTGGAGCCTCTCTGGCTCCTCGCACAGCTGGCGACGGGAGTCACCAGTTCCATGTCCCCAGATGTGCTCTGAATTCTCCATTCTGAAAGAGAGGCAGTTGGGCCAATAGTGGACACTAGTGCGGTGGGTGGGGTTTCCCCAGCTCATTATCACAGAGATCCAAGGGCCCCAGACCCTGGGACAGTGAGTAGCGTGTCTGCTGGTACATGTCAGTCTCTAGGTCCATCAGTCCTTCCAGTGGCCTTCACGTTCTTCAACAGAGCTGGGGAGAGGAGAGCATGGTCCACCTTGAGGCCTCAGAAGTAGGCTCTGTAAGTGCCATGTGTGCAAGTGTCTGAGGTCTTCCTGGTGTAAGGTCAGTGTGGATGACACCATCCTGTTTGTTAATATGGTAATACATCTTCTCTACCTTGAAAGCCAATAGACTTACAAGTTAATAAGTCATAGGAGCAGGAGAAACTTTTCTAGGAAAAGTGAAAATCTCGATATCCAAAAAGTACATTTTCTGCCCTCAAGATGGTCATCAGACCAGCCTGTGGCCAGGTAGGGAGTGGCTGAGTCCATGCCCTGCCTGGAGGAACCTGTCGCTGTGTGTGGGGAGAAAGCAGACCAGCCACTGCACACATCGGGTGACGGCGTCCACTGTGGCCTTGCGAGGCCACTGGTCTCAGATAACTGCCAGGGCTCTTCAGGGGACTCTGATCAGGACATAGCCATTGTGGACCTTCAGTAGTCACGGCAGCTGTGCGAGGTTGGAGACCCTGATGGAGCTGACCCAGTGGCCATTTTCGGCCAGCAGAAGTCACTCGCTCACAGCGGGTTCTGGCCCTGGACACAGACAAGCAGCCCCGTTGGTGGAGTCTTCCCCAGCCGGATTGTCACAGCCCTCTGCTGGGTTTGAAATTGCCATGTTTTTATGTCACTTATTGAGATATGGATCCTGTTTTGTGCTCACTTTAATTTCATTATTTTTAGTAGTGAGTGCTGTCCTTGGCCTCACCCTGGTGCCACTTTCTGGCTGCAGCCTTCTTCTGGGTTTCCTGGTAGGAACAGGAAGGCCACAGCCTCAGTGCCTCTCTGTGCTTGTGACTTGGCAGCTGGTGTCCACGTCTCAGAAAGGGACTGGCTGGGGTGTCTGAATGTGCTCACATGGACAAACTGCTAAGAAATTCCAGCGGAGGACCACCACCTGGACTGCCTCACATGTCCACCTAAGGGTCAAAGCTCTCAGCTGCCCATTGAAGGTGCCTGGGAACTGTGTTAATTTGAGGACAGCAAGAGGCTGCCTTGTCTCCTGGTCTGTGTCATCTGTAGACACATCAGTAGACTGTGCTGAGCTCAGTGTGCATTAACAACATAGAATGTAGATCCTACAAATACCCCAATTCCAAATACGCCTGGGGTTAACGTGGATAGGGAAGTCCTCGGATAATGACATCTGGTGTGTCTTTTTCTGATTATGTTGTATTATAGGCACTTGGGAAGTGGAGACAGGCAGGACAGAGGTTTGAGGCCAGCCTGGGCAAAAAGTTAGTGAGAACCCCACTGTCCACCCCCGAACTTCCCCGCCGCCCCATTTTAGCAAATAGGCTGTTCACAGTCATCCCAGCTATGCAGGAGGTATAAGTAGGAGGCTCGTGGTCTGAGGCTGCCCCGGGCAAAAATATAAGACCCTATCTGAAAAATAACTGAAAAGCAAAAAAGGGCTGGGGGTATGGCTCAATTGGTAGAACACCTGCCTAGGAGGTATGAGGTGCTGAGTTCAAACCCCAGGACCACCCTTCCCCCCAAAATTGTATTATATATTAAGCACTGAAAATGTAAAAAACCCCCAGAAATGTGTATTTCAGGTAAATTTTTATATGCAGAAGTAGGCACTAGAGGATGTAATCAGCATATCTTTATAAACACTATACTCATGTGGGCTGTTTTATAACCTGGTCACGTCTCTTAAAAGGACAACATTGCAAACATTTTCTGTGTTGTTAAATGTATTTTCTACATTTAACATTTTACACCATGGATTTAAAAAAGTGCTGTGTATCCTCTTACACCGACACATATATGTTTTATTTTTTTGAGACAGGGTAACACAGGCCAGCCTTGAACTCGTGTTCCTTCTGCCTCAGCCTTCCAAATGCTGGGACTTTAATTCATCTTTATTCATTCGTCCACTGATGGACACTTGGGTCAATCCCACACCTTGGCTCCTGTGAGCGGTGCTACAGTGAACACGGGAGTGCAGGTGTCTCTGTGACACTCTGATTTCACTCCCTTTAAATGTGGTCCTGGTAGTGTGACTGCTGGGTCGTGTGGTAGCTCTGTTTGTAATTTTTTGTGAACCACCTTACTTTTTCTACGTTTTAATGTTTCTGATTCATATGGCCAAATTCCACAGCAGGAAAGTTCCACCTGCACACAGCTCAGTGTGTTTCCGTAGGTCCTGGCCAACGGTGGGCCTGTGGGTTGGGAAGGTGGGAAGTGCATCAACGTCATCTGTTTCCCGGGGGTTCGATTGCACCATCTCCACATGGGTGTCAACCGTGGCATTGTCTGGGCTTTTTTGGCATTATTGGGTTTGAACTCAGGGCCTCACACATGCTAGGCAGATGCTCTACCACTTGAGCCACACGCCTAGCCGTCGAGATCTTTGGGTAGACAGAGGCTCCTGCTGTTGAAGCGCTCTGACCCCCACTTGTGTGGGAGACAAAATGACACCCACAAACTTCCTGCCCCCCTTTGCACACTCCTCCTGGTTGTGTACTCAAATGCAAGTGTGGTCCCAAAGAGCTCTGGCTGTGTAGATGAATTATGGTTTTAAACCAGGTACAGGGAAGTTGCTCTGACTGTGCCTAACCTCACCAGGCGAGCCTGGAGGGGAAGTGTGAGAGGTCTTCTTCCCTGAGGATAGAGGCGCTGTCGGCCAGGAATGCAGACGGCCTTGAGGAGCTGAAGGCTGATGGCCAGCAGGTACCAGGGATCTCAGTCCTCAACCACAGGAAACAACCCAGTGCTCTGGGAAGAGGATCCTGAGCACATGTAGAAACTCGCCAGCCCACACTTTGAGTTCAGTTTCGTGTGCCCTGAGTAGAAAAGCTGTCCATGTCACATACAGGCTCCATGCTCACAGCTCTGAGGCCAGAGATGGGCACTGCTTGAGCCTCTGGGTTCTTGGTAATTTGTTGTGCGGCAACTAAACCCCAGTGCACAGTGCATATCTGTGCAGGAACTTAAATCACATACCCAGCTGTGTGTGTTAATGTAGGGATAACTGTGGGGCCAGGACCCCGTTAGCTTGCCTGACCAGTCGTGGTATTCCATGACTCAGTGTTCCAGCACTGTTTCTTGTACTTTCGGTCATTTCTCTGAAGGCTTTCTTTGACGTTTGTTTGTTTGTTTTTGGTGGTACTGGGGTTTGAACTCAGGGGCCCTCACTTGCTAGGCAGGTGCTCTACAACTTGAGCCATTCCGCCAGCCCTTTCTGAAGGCTTTCTTGCTGTTGGTTCTGTCCTGTACACAATTCAACCTTCACATGTTTGGCAGGCCAGTGATCCAAAAAGTCCTTTGATTGGGATGGGACCTGGAGTGATGACTGGGTCCTCCAGGTGACCTACCTTGGTATTTCTCAGCAGGAGCATTGTCGGCGACCCTGCTCTGATTCTGCAGATCCAGGACAGTTAGGGGTCACTGCTGCCCTCCGAGGTCAGTGTACCCCATAGAGAAGGGCAGGCATGGGCAGCAGTAGGAGCTGGTGAGCGACTGCCCACCAAGGCTCGGAACATTCCAGAGAAGCTGTGTTCTAGGATCTGGTCAGTTCTGCCTAGGAGTTCTTCCTGGCTGCCCCACAGGCAGAGCCAGGCTGTCCTTAAGACCATTCCCCTTCCCATGTCACCTGTGGTGACAATGGTGGAGGAAGCATGAAGCGTGAGTTAAGGGTTGGTCACTAAGTCCGGCAGTCCTTTTGCTAGCTGGGCCTGGGTTTGAGCGTCCATCCATGTCCTCCTTGGCACCTGGCACTGTCAGGTGGACAAGACCTGCTCTGCCCGGGAGCAACCTGAATGGTCAGGTGGGAGGCTCACCCAGGCTGCACCCCTAACCGGGAAGTGGCCTTTACTTCTACTATGGTAAGCCGAGGTTTCCCTTGAGTTTAGGATGGGGGATGTGTGTGCACGGATTTCCACTGCCAGGTTCATCTAGCTGCTTTTTGCTGCTCAGGCTGTGGGTGACCCAGGGCCATGGGGGAGCTGAGGAGACGGGGGTAACTGGCTTTCCCAGGGCCTGATGACAGAAACCTGTGCACGCTTCCTGCCACTCTGGGCTCCGGCCTGATGCTGCCAGTGTCCTAACCTCTGTGTGTTTCTCTTCAAGATTTACGTCCACCTGAAGGAAGGCGGGGGCCCAGATGGCCTGGACGCACTGAAGAACAAGCCCCAGCTCCACAGCCTGGTGGCCAGAAGCCTGTGCAGGAACGCGGCCGGCAAGAACTACATCATATTCACGGGGCCCAGCATCACCAGCCTGACCCTGTTTGAAGAGTTTGAGAAGCAAGGTTTGTTAAGTGGCTGGGTCCTGGGTGGTGGTGGGAGGGGGAGAGAGGTGTAGTGGCTGGCACAGACCACAGGACGCCAGGCCAGCAGGAAACAGGTTCATCTCAGCTGCCCTGGGTGCCTGGACCCCGCTGGACGCTGGCAACATTGAGGTGAACGAGTCCAAGGCACACAGTCGGGGGCTTAATGACACAGAACTCTGCAGTCTTCCAGGTATTCCTGCATGTGTCCTGTGCTGTAAGGCTGAGGCCATCCAAGGCCCCCAGGCACAGCCCCTGGTAAGGACCCTGAAGGGACCAGAATCATCCACCATATCTAATGTGGCCCCTCCTAGCTGCAGTGAGGTGAGGGAACAGCCTGGTCTCTGTTCCATGTGGCTGGGGGTATATGACTCTCTGCACTGCCCAGTGCAAGTGACTCACCAGTCACCTGTGCAAGAACCAAGTGAGAGAGAAGTCTGTGGAGGCCAGAAGGGCAAGTTACGGGAAACCCCTGCTGTGTGAAAGCAGTGCTGCAGAGGACCTGGGGCTCTGGGAGCTGGGACTGCTGGATGGGCCACCCCCCTGTGATGCCCCTGTGTGATGGGCCCACTTTCTGAACTGAGAGTCAGTGCATTCAAGGCTGGCTCAGAGCTTGTGTGTTGGGGCGAGGCTGATTGCAGGCAGAGGCTCCATGGGGCAGGAACCAGAACTTGAGCTGGGCCACTGGCTGCCTCCCAAGAGCCAGGATGCTCCTCCCTGGCTCAGGAAGCAAGGAGGACAGGGAGAGAATCTCCCAAGTATGAGGAAGTAATTAGATGTGGGATTTAGGTTTTCTCAAGAGAAGGTTAGGTAACAGGTAAAAACAACCTATTTTTAACCTGTTTTTAGCAGATTCTGAACTTACTGAGCTCTTCACATGGAGAAGTCATCTGCCATGACTAGGGGCACACAGAGGGTCACCAATGGCTGTGACCTGGGGGCTCATTGAGCCTCTGTCCCTCTTCTCTGATGTGCGATGACCTAACAAATACTGAGTTTCTGGAAGTAGATGGGCCGATACACCCTGCACTGTGCTGGGCGCCTCTGTTAACGAGGGCCTCTGATGCTACATGAGTCCATGGCTTGCATCAGGGCCTTTCTCCCCATCTCCATTATTTTCTTATAAAAGCACAGCGGCCAGGTGCCAGTGGCTTACATGTGTAATCCTAGCTACTTGGGCGGCTGAGATCGGGAGGATCATGGTTCAAGACCAGCCCAGGCAAACAGTTCTCGAAACCCCATCTTCAAAATAACCAGAGCAAAATGGACTGGAGGCATAGCTCAAGTAATAGAGGGCCTGTTTTGCAAGGGCAAAGCCCTGAGTTCAAATACTGTCCCCCGCCTTTAAAAAAAGAAGCATGGAGATAGGCCCCGAAACCTCAGCAAGCTACCTCCAAGGGTTCCAGAGGTCAGGCACCCGAATCTGTCTCCACAGTCCCTCCTTCCTGCAGACGTGGGGTCAGGTGTGCGTGTGACCCTGCGTCTCTCCCTCCAGGCATCTACTGCTGTGGTCTGCTCAGCTCTAGGAAGAGTGACTGCACAGGACTCCCACCATCCATGTTGAGCAACCCGGCCACCCCGCCAGTCCGGGGCCAGCACCAGATCAAGATGAAGGGGAACATGTCCCTGATCTGCTGGTATAACAAGGGGCACTTCCGCTTCCTGACCAACGCCTACTCCCCTGTGCAGCAAGGTGAGCCCAGACTGCTGCGAGGGTCCCGGGAGAGGTAAGGCTGGGAAGGGGCTTCCTGAGCCATCAGCTCGGGCTGGGAAGCTGGGATCTGCAGGTGACATAAGCAGCTTCATCGCCTGGAAAGTATGGTGCATGACAATGGCTCATCTTACCAGGGATGGTACCCCTTGCCACCTGCCTCGCCTGGCCTGCCGGGTATCCCATTAATTCTGTTTGGGATTTAAAATCTCATGACAAAGGGAATTAATTAGCCAGGAGTCTATATTTTCTTGCAGCACTGGGGACCAAATTCAGGGAGGGCCTTGTGCAGGCCAGGCAAGCTCTCTACCTCTAAGAGTCTTTGATAACTGCTAGAATTGGGAGGGCAAAGGTTACTCCACAAAAATACTTGCAGTCGTGTGGTGCACACTGGGTATTTCTATGTGTGCGGTCTGTTTTTGTGATGTGACGTGCGTGTACGTGTTGCCATGTGCTGTGGTGTGTGTGTTGGATTTACACCATCTGCTTGTTCTCCTTCCCGTTCCTTGCCTGCACACCTCAGTCGCACTGTGTTTCTGTGGTGATCAAAGTCCAGGGGATAAAAACATGGGTGTCATTGCCCTGCGTGGAGTCAGAGGGCCATGTCTGTGGCCTTAGAAGGAAATCCTGGACTCGCCCTCAAGCTGAAAGTGAGGTTGGGCCTCCTGCGGGGCAAGGGTGACCTGGGCACCATGTTTGGATGGGGCAGGAGCTGCTTCCAACCAGTTTGTTTGCATTGACGCCTCTGCAGAGGTGTCCCAAAGCAGGACATTGCGTTTGAGCTTACTGAGGAACCATGAAAGACAAATACACCCAGAGAGATCTAAAAGAAGCCTGCGCTAGGACTTAAGATGCCTCCTCTTAAGTCCCCAGCCTTGAGGGTTGGGCCCTTACATCAGACAGTTTGGGAACTAGCAAGGAGGCTATCCATGTGGGGAGACGAGAAGGCCAGAGGGCTGACTCTTAGCTCTGCTGACATTTAATGCTTGTGTTTAAGTTGGTCACACCCTCCAGTTCAAAGTTCACATTACAAACCAAAGCCCTGAGTCCTAGATCCCCTTAAAACTCCCAAGAAATGTGACTGCTGACAGATTCCCAGCTCAGGTCCTGGAAACCCCACAGGAGTGGAGAGTGGGCTGGGCAGGAAGCTGCCTGGGGAGGTGGGTCCTGCGTGGATGGCTAGGGCTGGGCCACTGCTCCTCTCTGCTGGAAACCCCCTTTCTAGTTCATGTCTTAGGGCACCTTCAACCAAGAGATAGATTTCTTTTGAATATAGTTTTTAAAATGTGGTTTTAAAAATACTGCCTCGTATCCACCCTTCTTTACCGGCTCCTCGTTAGTGAGTATTTTTTACAATACGACTAATGGTGCCTTCATAAACGAATCTTTGGGTACATCTTTGGCCATTTCCTCAAAATAAGGTGGGAACACGGTTACGGTTTCTGACGGTGTGTGGACTCGAGGCTCTGCTTTGTTCACCGTGATTCACAGGGCTGTATCTCCAGCTTTACCAACATGTTCAAAACAAATTCGCCAATCCGCCAGGACACATGCTGCAGTTTAAAATACAAATTGCTATGACTGAGGGTAAAGGTTGGCTAATTTTGAGTGGTTTTTCTCTTGAGGTTTTGCCTTTCTCATCAACTTAACGGCAGACTTTCTCCCTCGTTTCTCTTCCTTTTGTTTTCATTTGTGACTATGTTTTGTCAATCGTGTTCTCG